GGGGGGGGGGGGGGTGAGGAGATTAATACAAACATTTGTCTCTGAAAAAAAGCCTTAAAGAATAAGCAACCATTTCCAAAGCCTTGCTGCAAACAGAATAGCCATAAACAATGCTGCCCGATATAGGAAAGCCCAGGGAGGCTTTAAAAGCTGTGAAAAATCTGAACTTTTTGTTTCAAGCAGGATGCAACGTACTTATGTCTTCAGAAGCTGCAGGACCTTACATCTGCTAGGTGCTGGGTTCCCCAATCACTTCGTAGTGGGCAGAGGAAAGGAGGTTTAGAGCCAAATTCTGGGCTGGTTTAGGGTCTAATTCTCCGAGGTGCGGGGTATTCTGCCCTTCACCTGGCTGCCTTCCCACCTTTTGAATTCAGTGCCCTGAAGGAAGTGATCAGACTGTGATCAGGAAGTGATCAGAGCCTGTTAAGATTTACCCTGATGTCCTGTGCCTTGATTAAGCCAGCATATTTCGTAACGCAGCCAAAGATTATGTTTTCAGACAAATGCCAGGTGGGGGTTTGAGGTGTGAAAGCAACAAATGAACAATGAATGGTAGGGCTTCCTGAGGTATTAAGAAGGATGGCTCTGTCACTCATTTAACAGTCTGATCTTAATGCCTGGGATGACATGCAATGTAGACAATACTCGCTATAGCGTCAGTACTTTTTGGACCTTTTGTAGAAGAATAACCACTTGGACTCTGAAGCATAACAGCAAATGTGTAGTTTGCGATTTTCTCTCCCTCTCCGTCCTCCCCCTTTTTGGTTCTTTCAAGATAACCTTGTTTATTTCCACACACTGACTACCTTATTCCTCAACAATTACTAATTTTAAATGAAGTCTTATTTTTATAGTCCTCCTTCCCACTGCAAGGTGGAGCTAATGAGGGAAAGTGAAGGAAGGGTCACTTCAGAATAACACACAGCTTTTTTCCAAGTAAGCTTATCTGGCTCTCCCCAGAGACCCATTGCATTAAGCAATTAAGACTTAATATATTTCGCTCAGTGTGATTGTATCTGTGCAGACGCCAGTCTGGGAGAAGTGAAATGTTAAGTTTCTTGGCAGCTTCTTGTTCACACAGACCTTTTGGTATAATTGTGTGTGTCAGATACAATTAAAAGAACATTCTCCAGCCATGACATAGCAGTACAGCTGACTGTCTTAAAAGGATGGTCTGGTTGCTCGCTGAGAATGGCAGAACTTTGTTATATATATAAGAATGCTAGCAGGCATTCAGCCATCTTGAACAATGGAGACATTTTCCTTTTTGTAAAGGGATCCAAAGAAAAGCAAGCCAGCGTCTTGGTGAGTAATATTGTTTCATAGTAACCATCAAGGTCTGTTATCCTATTACAAGAAAAGGCTCTAGCTCCTTCTCAACAAGAAGCCAATGCCTCGTGCCAGAGGCCTGTTTGTTGTGGAGTATGATGAAACTAAGTAACCTACAGACGCCTACAAGACAATTCTCCCTTGAAGGACCCCTAAGTTCACCTGTGTACCCTAAAATACTGTTTTGTGGTTTTTATACAGAGGGCATCATGGTGAGGTGCTGAGAACTTGTGAAGTGCCTTCCACTCCAATAGATTTAAATGGTAGAATGGGGTACAAATGGCCTTATAGGAAACGTCAAGCTTTAAAACAGGTACCCCCTGGATTTCTCAAACATCATTTCATTCAGAGAGTAGCTTTTTTATGTAGTGTTCTTTCGTAGAGATTTGTGTTGTTCTTTGTTAATGCCAACACATGTGCTTAAGCACATGTAACACTCCCCTGTCCCTCCTTCCAAAACCTAATTGCAGTCTTTGGTTGAGATCACTCACTAGCAGAGCAAGTGACAACTTGATACATCCTACCCAAAACACAAGCCATTGTTTTGACTAGCTCTGCATACTAGTTGAGACTCCTGATCCTTTCTGTTATGTCTCTGCTGTTACATTCGGACAGTAATGTTATGTTTGGAGCTATATTTTCTGCTCTGGAAACGAACTCCAGCAAGCTTGAAAATTTTGACTGCGCTGTGAGGTGATCTGATCCACTCCCCGACAAGCGGAGGACGCAGAATCAGAAGTTAGCTTTGAATTCTGAGGGACCGAGGAGCAGGATCATTTGGTTAAGATAGTGGGGCCAAACGCATCCAGGTCTCCCTCCACTGATAGGGGAGATCAGTGACCCAGACTGACAGACATACCTCGGACTTCAGACCGTTTAGCACAATCATTCATTTACATTTTTTTTGTAACCATGTAACTTACACAGAACTTAACGGTCAGCGGTGCCTTTTCCAAGTGCCCTTTCATCTCAAAATGTGGCTGGATAGAGCCTCCTGCAGTGACATCGCCACTGATCAGTGACATCCAACAGTAAAGCAAATCAGGATGATACTGAATTGTCCCAAGGGAGCATGTGGAGGGTATATCCGTTAAAAATTGTGAAGTGCTCAAAACACTACAGCAGGAGGCATATTAGTGCCCAGAGAGAGAACTCTTCCTGTACTTTTGGAGGCGTTGTGCTAGCCTGAGACCCGGTGAGCCCAGATTCTTCAATTGCAGCAATGTAACAGGTCGATTTACTCACCCATGGGCTGTTGTAGTCCAGGGATTTGTGTCTAGTTAAAGCTTGAGGCCCAGTAGTTATGAAGGACGAGTGTCTGCAACTCTCATGTTCTCTCACTACAACGTTGTTATGAATTTAAAGCCAAAAAATGTGTGACTAATCCTTCCTCGGAAGTGCAGTTGCTGTGGTTATATAGAGCTAGAAACTTTACAGCAGTTACCTTCCCTGCTCTGTCCCTCTTCCCTTTCTTTCTCAAGACAGTCCCACCCCAGGCCGTGTTTTGTGCTGACCGCAGGCTTCTGAAATGCCTGACAGAGGTACAAACTAGGCTACTTCATGTTAAACAGGCAAATTAGTTTTTCTTTCTGAACTTAAGAAACAAAGAAATAGACACTGATTATTTTTGAGTGTACAGAAAGTATATCTACATTGATGTATGTACTGTAAATTTCTAATTTATCACTGTACAAAACTTTGCTATTTAATTTTTGTATCAAAATAAATTTTTAACCCTTGTGAATTAGTACTAGATTCTTACTGAGCATTGGGTTTTTTTGCCAGGGGGTGGGGAGAAGGATCCCTCCTGTTTTCCCCTCGCTGCCCGCTTCCCCCCACCGTAAACTGTCTCATAGGTATAACCATAGTTCTGTCTTTAAATGCATACGACTGAAGAGTTCAACTTAATAAATAGGTAGCTGTGGTGGGTTAAGACACTAGTCATGGCACCAAACTTAGACGCTAGAATCTTTGGGGTGTGCAAATAACTGAGTACTATAATCAATGGAAACAGTTAAAATTTACGTCTGCTTCAGCATTTTGGGCTGGCTTATTCCTGAAAGCCTCAAGACTCAATGAGAGGGACTCTCCAAAGGTGATGCTTGGGATCCTGAATGGATAGGCAGAATTAGCTTCTTCAGCTGCAGATATGCACAGGGGCAAAAAGAGATTGTGTAGTTGGTTTTGGGAACCCAAAGATCAAAAGTCTTCAAGCAGGCCCTTTTACTTCAAGTATGGCAAGACAGCCTAAGACATGAAACATGTTGAGAGCCTGAAACAAAGGTAGATAACTCAACCCTGCCCTACCTTCCAGGAAAATCATTTTTCTGTTAACAATGGGTCACTTAATACTTTGAGTGGCTTCTGTGACAGCCAGGTTCCCTTTGTAGCATCCCTGAAATCCAGGGATTGCTACTATGGCTATTTTTCAATGTTACTGAGGACATACCCTTTTCAAGTTTCACTGGGGCTGCAGCATAAAGGAAGAGCATTCATGAGCACTTTGGCTTTTGGGGTTTTTTAAAGTTTTTTTATGTTACTATTCCTGTGTTTGTGTTTTCACTAGCTGGTTTAAGATTAGAGTGATTGTTTATGATTTAATTGTTATCTTAAGATTCTCAAATCATTTATACCAGTAGGAGTTTAGCATGGAGGATTATTTAGATGAGCATAATCTTAAATCTTACTTTAATATTTAAATAAACTACAGCTTGTGTCACCCAGCATCTATTATAAAGGAGACAACAGGTTTTATGTGATAATCTGCAGGGATTATTGAGTCAAGTTTTCAAGAACAGTACCCAAATCTAGGTGCCCAAAATATGTGAGGAGATCATTTAGGAGAGTGCTGCATGCAGGTCACTCAGTGTCAAACTGTTCTGTTTAGATGCCTTAGAATATTACTGGTAGCCCCCAAGTTAATACCTGAACTAACATGACCCCCAAAGTGGAAGGCAGCTTTCAATTTAGAGTTGACCCACTACAACAAATCAGGCCAGGTCTTCCAAAAGATTGGGCATGAAGTGGCATGAGAGCCGTTGTTGTGAAACAGAACCCACAAAGAACTTGCCTCTGATTCTTAACAAGTGTGTGTATGTGCTTGTGTGTGTGTTTTCAGACCTATTTTGGGGATCATGATAAATGTTGGGGACTTGATATCACAAGAGAATATAGTCTGTGACCAAAGATGTCCTGAAAATGGGAAATGGAGCGTATTTCGGGCCACTACATTAGGGTGTTTTGAGCCTGACACGGAGGGAGACAGAAATAGGTGAGAGAATCTCTCTTTCCCCATGAGTATATATACCATGGCCTCTGATAAAACATGCAAGCTCAGTAACTTAGTTTTATGAGGCAGATACTTTGACATGTAAGAACAAGACAAAAAGCTACCTGTTCATTTCATAGCTCACTACACCCCTTTCAGCTTGCAATGACTTTTAGTGGCAAGCCAGGGTAGCTCTGAAGAAGTGACCTACAGCAATCTCTGCTACTTATTGTTCTGTCTGGTAAAAACATAGCTGTTGGTTTATGCAGGAGATGAAAATAATGCACATGAGAGCTCGCATCATTTGCTTCCTCCCAGAGAGTTCAGTGAGATCGCCAAAGCTTGGTGGCATTTGAGCACAGTATGGAACAGCTTTGTAAAGCTATAGTCAAGCTCCATTATAGTCAATACTGCTGAGAGCTTCTACAGGCACAGAAAGCCCTGATTTATAGCTGTGTTAATGCCATATTGCTGCTTCACCAAAACCAGCCTGGGAGACTCATCATCACTGTACAGAGGACTCCTCTGGGGTAGAGCTGCTACAGGAGATACTAGACTGCTGCTGCTTCCTGCAGTTGGATGGGGTCCTTGTTTAGGAGGCCTTATACCCTGGCAAATTCCAGCTGCTGTAATAGCCTTTGGTTAATAGCCAACTGTTTTGATTTATGCTCTGGGAACAGCCCAGCACACAGACAACTTCACTTGGGTAGTGCAAAAGTAGCTAAAGGAGAGAAGCAGCAAATGAAATCTGATCTGCTAAAGATAACTCTGCCAGATCACTGCTCTTCTGTCTTCCTAGGGCTTTCTTTTAGCGTGACCATCACCTTGGAGTCTGGGGGCCCTAGTCTTAAAGGCTTATATGCAGCACCAGCTGAAAGGTACAACAACAGAGCAAACCATTTACATCAGGCTATACTCATGTGCCAATAAAAGGTTAATCTTTGTGGCTTCAGTTAGGATTTCTATTCCTGGATTATTTTCCTGCCAGCAATCTGACAGCAAAAAAGCTGATTTATGAAGTTAAATTTCTGAGGAGGTGTCTATCGTCATTCTTTTACTTTCTAAATCAATCATTTAGAACGTTTTAAGACAAATGAAAGCACCCACTGTTTGCAGACATGCTGGCAAGAAACAGACTTTCCTTTTGTATTTACACCAGTATTGAGCTAGTTTCCTGACTGCGTCTCCCATTTCCTGAATTTACTCTGAGGAAGGAAAAACATCCTTCCTGAAAAACAAATGCAAATAATTTGATAATCTGCTCTCTCAAATAACTCCAAAGATTGCAAAATTAAATCTTTTTGGATGCTTATTATACAGACCTGGAGACAGGTAACTGAAAATGTTATGAAGTGTTTTCTGAAATTTTTACTTATAATGCTTGCACAGAAAGGCCCACACAATAGAAAAACTAGCACTTCTCAACTGCCTTTTTATACTCAACATCACTGTTTTAAAACAAGGACTGGTTGACATCTAGTGGTAGCTCTAGGCAATATCTTTCTTTCTACCCTCTCACTCCACATCCATACCTCAGTCCACATCAGTTACATACATTTTTTCACCAATTTCAAGAACATTGCAGCATTTTCATTTGGAACTGTTAAATAAGTGAAGATTTACTTACTGATATTAGAGGGATAGAGAAATATTTGGGAAATTAAACCCCTTTACTAGAAGCATACTTGGGTACTTCTGCACCTTATTTTTTTTTAAAATGGTTCCTAGTCAACAGCCAAATGGCCCGGGCCCAGAGTTGGGCTACTCTTCCCCTCCTGCTTTTCCCTTTTCACTGACTTTGGGAGGAAAAAAAGGAGGGCAGGGGATTAATCCAGGAAAAAAAGATTGTTTCTCAAACTCATTCTGTTTTGCTCTGCTCCCGACCCAGTCCACAGCCTGTTAAAAAGGGGTCTTCAGTGGTAATGTTAACCTCAGGGCCAAGATACTCTGGTAAAGCTAAAGTCCCTGCTTTCTCTGTAGGAGATAAGAGAAGTCATCTCTGACCAGCTTCATTTACATTAATTAAAATGTTACAAAATTCCTGCTGTCAAGATATTATTGTTACTTTGGTTGGAATTTTTAAATTGTATTATTATTATTAGACATATGCATTGTCACGCATTACATAATGTATGATAGACTACATAATGTGTGCTCATAATGTATGCTTATGTTAATCATATAATATGATATACCATGTATTGCTATGCATTGTATAATTGTATAAATATATGACCTATTATACGTATGAAAGGGTAGAGACATTGCATAGGACATTCCCTAGGATGAATGGATCCCTCCTGAATTATAGGTGGTGAACTCTGATTCATTAACAAAACTGAACCTCAGCAAGGTGTGGTGGGGAGAAGGTCTCTGTCTTGAGGTCTAGGAGCAACAAATTACAAGGGCCTGGTATTTTCTGAGGTTCTTGTTTTGCTGTGGATTCCCCACCTGAGGTTACCATATTCCTGAGCCTCCAGCAGAGCTGTAACCAGGCACTTGAGTATCCTGGGAGGTACCCACACCCAGGGCAGCAGCAGTGACAGCGCTGTTGGTGGCAGCCAGACACAGCTGCTGTTACTTTTGTACCATCCCCTTCCCTTCTTGGGTCAGTGTCCAGGATTGGTGCCCACCTACCCCCTTTTTACATTACCAGCCCCTAATTTGGGTTGCTCAGTATCTTCTATACTGAGTGTGGTAGGTTTTTGCGCTTCTTCCTGTTTGTTTTCCACATATTCCCAAATAAAGGTAGCTGGAGGTCTAGACTCCCAAAGGAATAGAGTGGTAACAAGCGTGGAAGAACCTCCTGCAAAAACAACCAGAGAGGTTTTATACTATTTTTCTAGAGCCATCATTGTATTTGTTGCTCAGAAAGAAGAGCCCTTCAACCAGCTGAACCCACATCTTGGTACTGCTACTGCCACATGGCAAAAGGGTTGAAGTAACATTGAGTCGGCAATGTGGGGAGGCGGCTAGGAAGGCCAACTGCACCTTGTCGTGCATCCACAGATGCATCTCGAGCAGGTCCAAGGAGGTGATCCTCCCCCTCTATGCGGCACTGGTCAGGCCGCAGCTGGAGTACTGTGTCCAGTTCTGGGC